ACTTTAACAATTTTCTTCTTACTCTTTTTAGTAATTATTACAGGAAAAGGGGTTACTAACCCATTGTTCCCGGCATTTTAGTCGACTTTTACAACACACATGGCTTACGGAGGAAAGATTCTTATTCCACTTCCCCATGGATATAAAAGGAAAAGTAATAAGACCAAGAACTATTAAGATAAAATCAAAGAAAACTCAGATGAGTGTGTATAAATAAACATGTACATGTATATGTAGTGTTACCTAAGTGTAAGTAGCAGTAGCAAGACATACCTGTAATCTTGCATATTTATGAGACAGACAAAAGACACCAGCAATCCTACCATCATGTAAAACAATTACAGGCTTTCACTTTACACTCACTTGGCAGGACGGTAGTACCTCCCTGGGTGGTTGCTGTCTACCAGCCTACTACCTACTACTACTGTGTGGTGTAATTATCATGTTTAAAAGTTACGTAGTGTGTTTACTATATAATTTAAAAAAAAAAAGAAAATATCAATGGATTAATGAAAATGCCTATTTTTTTTTTTTTTCAACAAGTCGGCCGTCTCCCACCGAGGCAGGGTGACCCAAAAAATAAAGAAAATCCCCAAAAAGAAAATACTTTCATCATCATTCAACACTTTCACCACACTCGCACATTATCACTGTTTTTGCAGAGGTGCTCAGAATACAACAGTCTAGAAGCATACACATATAAAGATACACAACATATCCCTCCAAACTGCCAATATCCCAAACCCCTCCTTTAAAGTGCAGGCATTGTACTTCCCATTTCCAGGACTCAAGTCCGACTATATGAAAATAACCGGTTTCCCTGAATCCTTCACTAAATATTACCCTGCTCACACTCCAACAGATCGTCAGGTCCCAAGTACCATTCGTCTCCATTCACTCCTATCTAACACGCTCACGCACGCTTGCTGGAAGTCCAAGCCCCTTACCCACAAAACCTCCTTTACCCCCTCTCTCCAACCCTTTCGAGGACGACCCCTACCCCGCCTTCCTTCCCCTATAGATTTATATGCTTTCCATGTCATTCTACTTTGATCCATTCTCTCTAAATGACCAAACCACCTCAACAACCCCTCTTCTGCCCTCTGACTAATACTTTTATTAACTCCACACCTTCTCCTAATTTCCACACTCCGAATTTTCTGCATAATATTTACACCACACATTGCCCTTAAACAATGTAATATACAACATTTAATGAGCCTCAGTGATTATTGTTGTGTATTATTATTATTAATATGGCATTCTCAAGACTAATAAGACACTCTTAGTGATTTTAATGTGTACCTGCATGTCAGCACAGCGAGTAGAATAAGTTTATTTAGGTACAGGTGCATACAATTGTTTTACATGATGGTACGATTGCTGGTGTCCTTTTTTCTGTCTCATAAACATGCAAGATTTCAGGTACATCTTGCTACTTCTACTTACACTTAGGTCACACTACACATACATGTACAAGCATATACTGTATATATACACAAACACCCCTCTGGGTTTTCTGCTATTTTCTTTCTAGTTCTTGTTTATTTCCTCTTATTTCCATGGGGAATTGGAACAAAATTCTTCCTCCGTAAGCCATGCGTGTTGTAAAAGGCGACTAAAATGCCGGGAGCAAGGGGCTAGGAACCCCTTCTCCTGTATAAATTACTAAATTTAAAAAGAGAAACTTTTGTTTTTCTTTTTGGGCCACCTTGCCTCGGTGGGATAGGGCCGGTTTGTTGAAAGAAAGAAAATGGTACATATAAGCATAATTATTAGGAGTACAGCCTCTCCTCACTTAATGATGGAGTTTTGTTCCTAAGACCACAAGGTTACACGAATTCGTTGTTAAATGAGGAGTATACTATAATGGTAGTGGGTTTGTGTCAACCATCTTCGATATTGTTTCAATGTCACCTTTGCACATTTTGTAGCATTTCTAGTATATTTTTAAATGTTTATACAGTAGTGTACTGTATATTGAAAAAAACAGAATAGAGGAAATCAGCCCTAATATACATTACGTATTTAGTTACGTCACTAAGAGAGAAGAGGCCGTACATACGAGATGAAATTACTTTTTAGAACACTTAAAATTTTGGAAAATTTCTAGACATAATGGAGAGATGCAATGTTCACTGAACTCATGGAGAATGTAAACAAACCGAGTGGCACAAGGTGACCATATTAGAAAGTCAGGTGGGGGGGGGGGAGCCGTATAGAGAGTTTAAGTCATAATTTGAAATATCCATATTAGCGGGAGCGCCATAATGCTGGGCCCTACTGTACAGGTCCGCCATCACAAATCCAGTAATCAGACATCCAGTTCCAACAGTTATTCAGCACAAATTTCAGCTAGCATAATTTTAAATTTCCAGGGTTGCCACACCAACCTGCTGGTACTGTTTGGTAGTGCTACTTGCTGCACAAGTCATTCTAATTTCTTTTTCTCCATTTATGTATTGTTATAACCTGCTTACTTTTAGCCCTAGCCATGGTTCCAATGAATAAAAAATGCTTCTCGTTGTGTAAAGCACATACACAGTACATTATCCATAAAAGATAAAGTGCCGTGAAGCCACTGTCGGTTGCCATGAGCTCAGTCTCGTGATGAAGGGGAATATTCTTTATTATTACACTAATATCAACACTATGGGAATCAAATACAAAATGGGAATTGACACAGTTACTTTTTGCTGATGAAACTGTGCTTATAGGAGATTCTAAAGAAAAATTGCAAAGGTTAGTGGATGAGTTTGGGAGTGTGTGTAAAGGTAGAAAGTTGAAAGTGAACATAGAAAAGAGTAAGGTGATGAGGGTATCAAATGATTTAGATAAAGAAAAATTGGATATCAAATTGGGGAGGAGGAGTATGGAAGAAGTGAATGTTTTCAGATACTTGGGAGTTGGGTGTCGGCGGATGGATTTATGAAGGATGAGGTTAATCATAGAATTGATGAAGGAAAAAAGTGATGAGTGGTGCGTTGAGGTATATGTGGAGTCAAAAAACGTTATCTATGGAGGCAAAAGAAGGAATGTATGAAAGTATGTAGTACCAACACTCTTATATGGGTGTGAAGCTTGGGTTGTGAATGCAGCAGCGAGGAGGCGGTTGGAGGCAGTGGAGATGTCCTGTCTAAGGGCAATGTGTGGTGTAAATATTATGCAGAAAATTCGGAGTGTGGAAATTAGGAGAAGGTGTGGAGTTAATAAAAGTATTAGTCAGAGGGCTGAAGAGGGGTTGTTGAGGTGGTTTGGTCATTTAGAGAGAATGGATCAAAGTAGAATGACATGGAGAGCATTTAAATCTGTAGGAGAAGGAAGGTGGGGTAGGGGTCATCCTCGAAAAGGTTGGAAGGAAGGGGTTAGGGAGGTTTTGTGGGCGAGGGGCTTGGACTTCCAGCTGGCGTGCACGAGCGTGTTCGATAGGAGTAAATGGAGACGAATGGTATTTGGGACCTGACGATCTGTTGGAGTGTGAGCAAGGTAATATTTAGTGAAGGGATTCAGGGAAACCGGTTATTTTTATATAGCCGGACTTGAGTCCTGGAAATGGGAAGTACAATGCCTGCACTCTAAAGGAGGGCTTTTGGGATATTAGCAGTTTGGAGGGATATGTTGAGTATCTTTATACGTATATGCTTCTAAACTGTTGTGTTCTGAGCACCTCTGCAAAAACAGTGATTATGTGTGAGTGAGGTGAAAGTGTTGAATGATGATGAAAGTATTTTCTCTTTGGGTCACCCTGCCTTGGTGGGAGACGGCCAACTTGTTGGGAAAAAAAAAATCAACACTACGGCTTATTTGCCTATCACAATTGATCTAATATGACATAATAAACATTATAAATAACATAAAAACATGTTAATACTCCAGAATGAATAATATCTGGCATAATACCGAGCAGTTTGACAGAGGTATGAAGAGGATATGGGATACAAGTACCATTCTCTTATCCTTGTCCTGGGGGCTGTGTTATACACTTGCAGTGCACCAGAAAATTGAAATAAAAAAGCTATTTTCTCTACATAGATTATCATACATAGGAATATGTGTGAAGAGAACCCAGGATAACCCAAAAAAAAGTCAGACAAAGTGACTTATTTCTAGTACCGGGCTTGGGCTTGCCATATATGATTTTTGGTAAATAATTTTTTCCTCTCAGTTGCTTGTTGGTCTCCTTTGATAAAATGGAATATATATTACAGAAATAGACATGATTTTGATTGCTTTCACAACAAAACGTACCTTGAAATTGAGCTCAAAGTAGCGGAAATGTTCGATTCTTTAGCCATGTTCAAGAGTAAACAAATGACATCACCGTCCAATACTTGTCCACCTGCTAGACCAAGTTCCAATACGCAGTCACAAATGGATTGACATTATTTATACAATTATTACAATAATGCAGTAGTCTGCATAACAGTAAATCATCTACTTTTTTTTGTGAATAATAATTCAAAATGGTAAGCAAGAGTAATATAAGAGGGGCCTGGAGCCATGACTAATGAATAGAGAAAATGTTATTTTAGTGCCAGGAATGTGTGCATTGTTTATTCTGGGCCCTATTTTGAAACTGGCATCTTTTGAAATTTGTGTGAAATTGGCCAAATTACCAATTTCTGACCACTGAAATAAGTGAATGGGTGGTTTCTTGTACTCAGTCGACAGAATAGAAGTAAGTTTATTCAGGTATACACATATACAGTTAAACTGATTATCATACATAGCAGCATACGTTGTATTTTTGCTGATGTTCAATGAACTTTCTTGTGCAAGTCAAGTTGGTTAACTTTATTAAGTGTATTCTAACCTACAGGTCCCAGTGATGCCAGATTTGTGATGGCGGGCCTTTACTTATTTATAATCTTTTTCTTATGACGTGTTAATTATTACTGAACCTCTATCCATACATTGTTCAAATTAGTTTAGTAATAATACTTTGTGCATCTAAAAATCCAAGAGAGAAATAAATGAAGGTAAAGGAAAAGCAGACTTACCCGGCCATCACTCGCTAACAATATGGAATCACTCTTGATATCTCTGTGAATGACCCCTTGTGAATGAAGGTAAGCAAGAGCCTTGAGGCACTGTCTACACACCTGGAAACAATGAAATAATAATGTATTATTTGCCTCTAATATTTGCCACAATTCAATGAAATACATATCCAGTTGTAAAGAATATGATGGTAAATTGATAAGTATTTGCATCCATTATCTTTTTTTTTTTTTAACACGTCTACCATCTCCCACCAATAAAAATATAACAGAGCCATATTGAATATTATTAATAGGTCATTTCTGGACATAATCACCAAGCTTATCAAAGCACTTGTCCCAACATGCTACTAGTTTGTTTATGCTTTCCAATGAATTCTGTTGACTTATTACAAAGCCACTGACAACCTGCTGTCATCACATGTCAAAACGCTGTTCTCCTAGGAACTTCTCCAGAGGCCCTAATAGAAGGAAATCGCAGGGGACAAGATTGAGGCTGCAACTGTAGTTTTGTCATGAAAAATAACAGATGCAAAGACTTTTTGATCTGTCCTTCTATATTGTACAGTAGAACCTCGGTTTTCGTATGGCCTAGTTTGTATGTAAAACTATAGTTCTTCTCTATAATTTTTTTTTTTAACAAATCGGCCGTCTCCCACCGAGGCAGGGTGACCCAAAAAAGAAAGAAAATCCCCAAAAAGAAAATACTTTCATCATCATTCAACACTTTCACCTCACTCACACATAATCACTGCTTTTGCAGAGGTGCTCAGAACACAACAGTTAATATTTTTGGGTGTCTGGAATGGAGTAATTGGATTTACATTATTTATACGAAATATTAACAAAAAATACATTAAAAGAGAATAACTATAATGAAAGTATTTTCTTTTTGGGGATTTTCTTTCCTTGTGGGTCACCCTGCCTCGGTGGGAGACGGCTGACTTGTTGGAAAAAAAAAAATATAGTTTTACATACAACCTAGGACATACGAAAACCAAGGTTCCACTGTATTGTATTTTTAATTGCCATGAGAACAACTTTCCTCCTCACATAAAAAGGTTTGAACCATATTGAACGTAAACTCTTCCATATGATAACCACAAAGACATTAATGAACCCCTTAACCCTGTTGCATAATGTTATGTAATGCTACACAGATTAATGACTTCTGCACACTTCTAGCAAGTTATTAAATGAATGACAGTGAACGAGTTTATTTTAGGTCACCCTACCTTGATGGAAAATGACAGGTGTGGAAAAAAAAATTAACTACATCTTCTGTGTTTTCAGAATAATGCAACAGTGTGCAAGGCCAAACCTACAGATGAATAGGTTAATATGTACCATAAAACACCCTGCCATCTGTTAATGTATGGCAACAGAAATCTACTAACTGTAGCAATCTGCTCTTCATCCATTCTGGCATGTGTGACAATGTCTGTTAGTGCTCCTCCCTCCAGAAATTCCATCACCACCCACAACTCATCTTCCACTAGGAAGGAGTCATACATCTCAACAATGTTGGGATGGTGGTAATCTCTCATAATTACCACCTCATTAAAAAGAAGCTCTCTCCTTTGTTGTTTACGCAAATCCATCTTCTTTACAGCAACCTGTATAGAGAGAAGACTGGTTATTAAACACTTACACATGCTGATAATATTGCATCTACCTACCAAACTTATGTAACCTTGTCTTATATTTGTAATCATGACAGTGACAGCAAGCCTTCAAAGTTAGAGCTACGAGTTATTCTATTTTCAACTTTTTAGACACACATCTTCATACAAATTTAAGTGTTGCACTCTTTCAAACTGTAATAAGCTCTGGGAGTTTCTATGTATTCTTTCCTAAGTTAGTTTGTCTCTGTTCACTCACCTGCCTTAAAAAGTAAAATAACACAAAATTAAGAAATCACAAAACAAAATAAAATGCCCTGAATGGTACAAATTCATTAACTATGGTATCCCCTATGTCCCTGCCTACCTAAGAATGATTGTACATGTGCAGTAGACCCTCACATTACACGGCAATTATGCTCCTGAAAATGCAGTGTTACATTAACTGACTGATGTAGGTTCGCTGGTATCTCCAGCCCGGGTCTTCTCCAGATGACGACCCGCCGGTTACATTAACTGGAGAACTTATGGGGAAAATAGGGTTACGTTCCTGGGACCCCTCCCCCCCAAAAGTCAAACAACTTTTTTTTTTAGACATCCAGATCTTACAAAAATAAAAATGATAATGTTGTTTTTGTTGCTTAAGACTACAACTGCAACAGAAATAATAATATTTACCATAAATTGTGGATGGTGGGTATGTCAGTGGCTGTGAAGAGAGTGGAGATGAACGGTGTGGCCCTACTGGGCTGAGGTGGATGGTTGTTGGTTGTCGGCAGAAATGGATGGTTGAGGCTCTGGTACTAAAGTGTGCTTAAATTCTGTAATGGATCTCTGGCTTCTTTTATCCTGCAGTACATTATGCATTATTCCAGAAGCTTGGTTGGAGTCGGAGGTCATTGATGCAACTAGTTTTTTCATCACTTTTCTTGTGTAGCTACAGCTGAATGACTTAACTCCCCAATCCAGTGGTTGTATTAAAGATGTTGTATTGGGAGGTAAAAATACAACTTTTACATGTGGGGTCACATCCAGCAAAGCTTCTGGATGAGCATGTGAATTATCAAGAATGAAGAGAGCCTTGATGCAAATGATGCTTAAAGCAGTCAATAAATATTTCCTCTGTCATCCATGCTGACTGGTTTGACCTCCAAATTACTGGTAAGGTGTTTTTATCTACACCTTTCAAAGCACAAGGATTCTAAGAGTGGTAAATAACCATGGGCTTACACTTGAAATCACCTGACACATTATTACAAAGGAGCAAGCTGAAGCGATCCTTTGCTGCCTTGAAGCCCAGTGCAGCCCCGCAGACACATTGGTCTCGCCCACAGTCAGGCCGCAGCCTGAACTAGGGAAACATCCTGCTGGTGACTCTCCAAATTCTTTTCCCCTCCAGCAAACCAAACCAAGTTAATTTTACGAAGGGCTGTATAAAATTATGCCACAATTTTTCAACAGTGTAATAACCAAAACATGCCAAATACGTAAATCTGTGTAATGTGAGGGTCCAATGTACTATAAATGAATAAACCAATAAATAAAAACAAATGTAAATTATTGTACCATACCTGACTACCAGATTCTCTATCACTGGCTATGCAGACAATGCCTGTGGATCCCTCTCCAATCTTGATAAAGTTTTCCAGGTTGTACCTGGGGTCTCCTGGACTAACCACCATTTGCAATGCTGCTCGGAACTGTCATAAAAATTAGTTACAAAAACAACCGTTCACAAGTTACATTCCATATTAAAGAAATTTCTGCTATATGCTATTCAACTTATTAAACACATACATTACATTTCTTAAACTGGACATGATGTGTATACATAACCTAGGGAATTGGGTGCCATATATACTGCAATGTACTGTATTCACAAATGCTAGAGCAGGGGTTGGCAACCTGTTTGAAGAGAGAGTCAAACAGTTACACAGTCTCTCAGAGGAGGGCCATGTTTTTAAATGCAATATAAAAAAAATTCTCGAACTCAGGATTGCCATTAGTTTTTTAAACCAATTTTGGCCTAATTCTCATAATACTTAACACAATTTATCACACATAACTAAATAAACATTATTATCAAATGCAAATATCTACTGTACAGTTGCTTTACCATCAGCCACCAAATTCATATGAAAAACTCTGAGGAAAGTGGATAAAAGTAATTTTTCCAGGTACTGCTTAACTTTGAGGTGAACTACTGCATCTGTGTTCGATACCAATTAGATAATTAGTGTCCAGGTGTTAAGTTGGTGGGCCGGACGAAAACCTCACGCAGGCCGGATGTGACCCATGAACCGGGGGTTGCCGACCTCTGTGCTAGAGGTTAAAATCAAGTATCACATGATGCTTGATTTTAACCCTCTAGCATGTGTGAATAACAGGAAAACATCTAAATAAATATGGTAAAACACATGTTCACTTAAACAGAATGTACAAACCTGTTCATGAGAGAGTCTCTGCTGGTCATGTTGTTTGGCAGCTGGGTGATGCTGGGTGGCATTACCATGAGGAAACCCAGGTGGAGATTTTCCTGGTAAACTGGCCATGTTGTTCGTATTGTTGTTGGCACTCGCTCCACTGCTGCCTCCTTCTCTTCCTTCACCAGAGGCTTTACGGTCTCTCAAAGTCACTTGCTGCATGGTGTTGTGACCAGCAGATTGTGGGTCATAACGATTGCCATTGTGGTCTTGTTGGGGGGTGCCAGAGCCTTTACTAGATGGAGAGTTCTGCTCTGGTGCAGGTGCTGGTGGCTGGAAAAAATATTAAGTCTCAGTAGAGGTTATTTTAATACACTTGCAGTCTTCCACCAAGGCATGTGACCCAAAAGAGAAACACTTTCACCATCATTCACACTATCACTGTCTTGTCAGAGGTGCAGAGATATGACAATTAAGTTGTCCCTCTAAACAGCATATATCCCACAACTATCCTTTAGAGTGAAGGCACTGCAAGCACTCTACTTCCCACCTCCAGGACTTAAGTCTGGCTAACCAGTTTCCCTGAATCCCTTCACAAAATATTACCTTGCTCATACACCAACGACTTGTCAAAGTCCCAAAGCCTAATTTATATCCACTCACTCCTATCTAATATGCTCATGCATGCCTGCCTTATGTTCAACCCCTTTACACACAAAACCTCCTTTACCCCCTCCCTCCATCCTTTCCTAAGACAACCTTTACACTGCCTTCCCTCCACTACAGATTTATACACCCTCCAAGCCATTGTTTTTCTTGGTACAGTTATGAATTTAAAGAAAATAGTACACGCACGAAAGTCAAAATATTTATGGTATAAACCACGCAAAATAACTAGTATCAACTAGTTAATCAATAAATACTGTACATTGTAAATTAAATTAACATTCACTAAATTCAAGTAAAGTATTTGTATGTAATAAAGACAAATTGCAGTTTAAGGAAACTAACATTTTTTTTGTATAGCAAATTTCTTCATATCAGTAGAATATGACTGGGAAAGAAACATTATATAGGCTAAAGTAAGGAGAGGTCAGATATGCTGGAGTATCAGAGGTAGTTCAAACTTTACACTGGTTCTGGCTAGGACAGGCGACACTAAAATTTGTTGATACATAATGTTTCAGTTTAACAACCATAAATACTTAGCTATACCCATCAATACTGATACCAACAAACATCTAGCTATTCCAGTTATCGATACTCTGGTACTCCCTTAGCCTCAATTTAGAGCTTGTTCTGGTTTACAGTGCTAAGTTTGACCAACTAAAATTTCTTAGTTTTGTATAGGTTCTATAAAATTGTAAGGCTCAAAAATTTCTCAATTGGTCCTTACTATATCAGTATTCACTTTGAATTACATGTACCCTTAAATAGGGTATGTATTGTATGTAATATGCAAATGTTGACAACAAATTTTTTGTATGTTTGCTTAATGTGTTAATTGTCTAAGAATCGTGTTTTAATGTGGATTATTGTGTATGGTGTAGTTATAATGGGTAGTGTAATGTAGTGTTGTTGCAGGTCGAACAAAATTGTTGAATAGAGGAATTTAAGGCTTAGTGATCAGATGTGTGATCAAGGTGTTCGTGTTGTGAGGTTGTGTGTGAGTATGTGTGTGTGGTAGGTTACAGTGTGTAGGTTGCATGATGTGTGTTTGAGGTTGTGTGATAGTGTTGTAGTTGTGTGTGTGAGGTTGGTGTGTGTTTTGTGTGTAGGTTGATGTTGTGTAGGTGTGTGTGTTGAGGTGTGTGGTGTGTGTGAGTGTGTTGTGTGTGTGGTGTGTGTTGTGTGTGTGTTGATGTGTGTGTGTGGTGAGTGTGTGTGTGTGAGGTGTGTGTGAGGTGTGTGTGTGTGGTGTGTGTGTGAGGTGTGTGTGTGAGGTGTGTGTGTGGGTGTGTGTGGAGGTGTGTGTGTGAGGTGTGTGTAGGTGTGTGTGAGGTGTGTGTGTGTGTGTGAGTGTGTGGTGTGTGTGTGAGGTGTGTGTGTGTGTGTGTGTGTGGGTGTGTGTGTGTGAGGTGTGTGTGGGGTGTGTGTGTGAGGTGTGTGGTGTGAGGTGTGTGTGTGTGTGTGAGGTGTGTGGTGTGTGTGGTGTGTGAGGTGTGTGTGTGTAGGTGTGTGTGTGTGAGGTGTGTGTGTGGGGTGTGGTGTGTGAGGTGTGTGTGTTGTGTGTGTGGGTGTGTGAGGTGTGTGTGTGTGTGAGGTGTGTGTGGGTGTGTGTGTGAGGTGTGTGTGTGTGTGAGGTGTGTGTGTGGGTGTGGGTGTGTGTGTGTGGGTGTGGGTGTGTGGTGGTGTGTGTGAGGTGTGTGTGTGTGTGGTGGTGTGGTGTGTGTGTGTGAGGTGTGTGTGGTGTGGTGTGTGGTGTGTGTGTGGTGTGGGTGTGTGTGGTGTGTGTGAGGTGTGTGTGGTGTGGTGTGTGTGTGGAGGTGGTGTGTGTGAGGTTTGTGTGTGTGTGAGTGTGGGGTGGTGTGTGTGTGTGGAGGTGTGTGTGTGTGTGAGGTGTGTGGTGTGAGGTGTGTGTGTGTGAGTGTGTGTGTTGTGTGAGGTGTGTGTGTGTGAGGTGTGTGTGTGTGTGATGTGGGTGTGGTGTGTGAGGTGTGTTGTTGGTGAGGTGTGTGTGTGTGTGTGAGGTGTGTGTGTGTGAGGTGTGTGTGTGTGGGTTGTGGTGTGGGTGTGTGTGTGGTGTGTGTGTGAGGTGTGTGAGTGGTGTGTGTGTGAGGTGTGGTGTGTGTGTGAGGTGTGTGTGTGTGGGTGTGTGTGTGAGGTGTGGTGTGTGTGTGTGAGGTGGTGTGTGTGAGGTGTGTGTGTGTGAGGTGTGTGTGTGTGTGAGGTGTGTGTGTGTGGAGGTGGTGTGTGTGGGTGGTGTGTGTGTGTGGGAGTGGTGTGTGAGTGGGTGTGTGTGTGTGTGAGGTGTGTGATGTGTGAGGTGTGTGTGGTGAGGTGTGTGGTGTGTGTGGGTGTGTGTGTGTGGGGTGTGTGTGTGGGTGTGTGTGTGAGGGTGTGTGTGTGTGAGGTGTGTGTGTGGGGTGTGTGAGGTGTGTGGGTGTGGGGGTGTTGTGAGGTGTGTGTGTGTGTGGGTGTGTGTGTTGTGAGGTGTGGTGTGTGTGAGGTGTGTGTGTGTGAGGTGTGTGTGTGTGAGGTGTGTGTGTGTGAGGTGTGTGTGTGGGGTGTGAGTGTGTGAGGTGTTGTGTGTGTGGGTGAGGTGTGTGGGGTTTGGGTTGGAGGTGTGTGTGTGTGAGGTGTGTGTGTGGGTGAGGTGGGGAGTGTGTGGAGGTGGTGTGTGAGGTGGTGTGTGTGAGGTGTGTGTGGGGGTGTGTGTGTGTGTGAGGTGTGTGTGTGAGTGTGTGGTGTGTGAGGTGTGTGTGTGTGAGGTGTGTTGGGTGGTGTGTGTGTGTGAGGTGGTGGTGTGAGGGTGGGGTGTGAGGTGTTGTGGGGAGGTGTGTGTGTGTGAGTGTGTGTGTGTGTGAGGTGTGTGTGAGGTGTGTTGTGGGTGTGTGTGTGTGAGGTGTGTGTGTGTGGTGTGTGTGTGGGAGGTGTGTGTGTGAGGTGTGTGTTTTGAGGTGTGTGTGAGGTGTTGTGTGTGTGGGTGTGGTGTGTGTGAGGGTGTGTTTTGTGTGAGGTGTGTGTGTGTGGGGTGTGTGTGTGGTGAGGTGTGTGTGGTGAGGTGTGTGTGTGTGAGGTGTGTGTGGTGTGTGTGGAGGTGTGTGTGGAGGTGTGGTGTGTGTGAGGGTGTGTGCGTGTGTGTGTGTCGTGTGGTGAGGTGTGTGTGTGTGTGTGTGTGAGGTGTGTGTGTGTGTGGGTGTGGTGTGTTGTGTGTGTGTGTGTGGCTGTGTGTGTGTGGGTGTGTGTGTGTGGTGTGTGTGTGGGTGTGTGTGTGTGTGTGTGTGTGTGTGTGTGTGTGTGTGTGTGTGGTGTGTGTGTGGTGTCGTGTGTGTGTGGTGTGTGTGGTGTGTGTGTCTGTGTGTGTGTGTGTCTGTGTGTGTGTGTGTCTGTGTGTGTGTGTGTCTGTGTGTGTGTGTCTGTGTGTGTGTGTGTCTGTGTGTCTGTGCATGTGTGTGCACATGTGTGTGCATCTTTTGAATGCAAGCATTGTTCAAGTTGTTAGTCCTGGTGGCATACTGTGTTTATTCTGGAGGATTCTGCCAGGTATATTTTATCACATCCTCTACATGAGATTTCATACACATGAGCTCTACATAAAATCCCACCTGGAAGACATGATAACCTAACCACATGTTTGAATGAACACAATATGCCTCCCAAACTAACTTAACGCTAGTGTTCAACATACAAAAGGAATAACGAAATGTTCCTCTCTCAACATGGAAATAAAAGATAATAGCTAAATATTTGCCATTCCAATACCCCTAATACTTTCTCCACACATTTGCCAGTCCACACCTTATCATAATTTCTGGCTATGAAAATAGCTTTTCTATTCAAATTAGGCTCTTCTTTGTCAGAATTTACCTAAATGTTCTTTGCTTTATACATTACAAGAAGTTACTGAGCCCTTACATATTTTAAAGCCACAAGGCTCCTCTAAATTACCCACTAAGAAAATTACATCTTATTCTGGCACATGTAAAATACCTTTGCATACATCTGGGCATGAGGTGGAAGCTGGTGTGGAGGTGGGGGTAATTTTTGTACTCCATGAGGTGGAGGCAGAGGGGGTAGCTGCTGCTGCTGCTGCTGCTGTTGATGATGATGTTGCTGCTGCTGATGATGATGCTGCTGGTGCTGCTGCTGCTGCTGCTGTTGGTGTTGTTGCTGCTGTTGTTGCTGCTGTTGCTGCTGCTGTTGGTGTTGCTGCTGGTGTTGTTGTGGGTGTTGAGATGGATTGTGTGGTTGCTGCTGGGACTGTGTCTGTTGTTCCTGCTGCTGCTGCAGCAGTGGTGGTGGTTGCTGATGTTGTTGCTGCTGCAGTGGTGGTTGTTGCTGCTGCTGCAACTGATGTAACTGATTTTGAGAAGTGTGATGTGGGGGGGGAGGATGACCAGGCGGTGACTGGTGTGAAGGTGGGAGAGGCTGAGGTCTACGCTGGTGGGGATGTTGTGATGAAGGAGACTGATGAGGATGCTGCCCAGGATGCTGATTAGGTGACTGATGAGGATGTTGATTAGGATGCAGAGCAGGACCAGACAGAGCATGCTGACCAGGGTGTGACTGAGACTGATAGTGTGGTCCATTGTGATGGCCAGGAGCACTGCCTGCTTCAGGTGGAAGCTGCGCAGGAGGTCGACCACCCTGGAAGAAAGAAAATTCATAAATAAAAACTGCTTTTTTTTTTTACATGTCAGCCATCTCCCACTGAGGCAGGGGTGACCCAGAAAAGAAACACTTTCACCATCATTCAACACTTTTACAATCATTCACACAATCACTGTCTTTGCAGAGGTGCCTAGATATGAGAGTTTAAATGTAACTCCAAACAGCCAATATCCCTAACCTATTTTTTAAAGTGCAGGTATTGTACTTCCCACCTCCGGGACTCAAGTCTGGCTAACCAGTTTTCCTGAATCCCTTCGTAAAATATTACCCAGTTCGCACTCCCAATAGTTTGTCAGGTCCCAGGTAGGGACCTGACAAGCTATTGGGTGTGTGACAAGCTATCTAACACGTTCACACATGCCTGCTGCATGTCCATGCCCCTTGCACACAAAACCTCTTTTACCCCCTCAATCCATCCTTTCCTAGGATGATCCCTACTCTCTCCATTATAGATTTATACAACCTCTAAGTCATTTTATTTTAATCCATCCTCTCTGAATGACCAAACCACCTCAAAAACCCCTCTTCAGCCCTCTGAATAATACTTTTTGTATCTCCACACCTACCTAATTTCCAAACAATGAATTCTCTGCATAATATTTACACCATTACACCACACATTGCCCTAAGACAGGACATCTCCACTGCCTCCAGCCTCCTCCTTGCTGCAGCATTTACAACCCATGCTTCACACCCATATGAGAGCATTGGTACCACTATACTCTCATACATTCCCTTCTTTGCCTCAATGGATAATGTTTTTTGTCTCCAAAGACACCTCAATGCACCACTCACCTTTTTCCTTCATCAATTCTATGGTTAACCTCATCCTTCATAAACCCATCTGCTGACAAATCTACTCCAAAATATCTGAACACATTCACTTCTTCTATGCTCCCTCCCTCCTAACTCGTTTGATACCCTCATCACCTTACTCTTATCTATGTTCACTTTCAACTTTCTTTACACACCCTCCTAAACTCGTCCACTAACCTTTGCAACGTCTCTTTAGAATCTCCCAAAAAGCACAGTATCATCAGCAACAAGTAACTGTCAACTCCCATTTTGTATTTGATTCCCCATAATTAATCCCACCCCTCTCCCAACCACCCTAGCATTTACTTATTTTACAACTCCATCTATAAAGATGTTAAACAACCATGGTGACATTACACATCCCTGTCTAATGCCTACTTTCACTGGAAAGTAATTTCCCTCTCTCCTACACACCCTAACCTGAGCCTCACTATCCTCATAAAAATTATTTACAGCATTTAGTAATTTACTACCTATTCCATACACTTGCAACATCTATCACATTGCTCCCCTATCCACTATCATATGCCTTTTCTAAGTCCATAAATGCAACGAAAACATCCCTACCTTTATCAAATATTGCTCACTTATATGCTTCAATGTAAACACTTGATCTACACATCCCCTACCCATTCTAAAGCCTCCTTGTTCATCTGCATCCTGCTCTCTGTCTTACCTCTAATTCTTTCAATAATAACCTACCAAACACTTCACCTGGTATACTCAGTAAACTTATTCCCAAATAACTTTTACTATCTCTTTTGTCCCTCTTTCCCTTATATAAAAGACTTATAAATGCTCTTTGCCAATCCCTAGGTACCTTCCCCTTCCTCAAACATTTATTGAACAACAGTACCAACCACTCCAATACTATATCCCTTCCCCGCTTTTAAAGAGTGCAGACACAGCTCCTTTTTCCACTAGCTAAAAATTACAGGCCAGAAGCCCTAACTTCACAAGTCGTAAAAATCTTCGACAGTGATGAGATGGTAGATTACAAATTTCTAGGAGCAGCACAATCGGCATAACCCAAACCAGCATGGTTTTAGAGGAGGACAATCATGTCTATCACAGCTGCTGAACCACTATGACAGAATTACAGAGGTGTTGGAAGACAGACAAAATGCAGATGTGATATACACGGATTCTGCAAAGGAATTTGACAAATGTGATCACGAGGTGATTACACACAAAATGAAGACCATAGGCATTACAGGAAAGGTAGGCAGATGGATTTTCAGGTTCCTAACACAAAAAAGAACAAAAAGTAGTAGTAAACAGAGCAAAATCAAGAACACGTGAGGTAAAAAGCTCTGTTTCCAAGGCACTGTCCTGGCACCTCACCTCTGTGGTTTCTTATCTTCACAGGAGACAGATAAAAACACCTGTCACAGTTTTGTATCATTTGCAGAGGACACTAAAATAAGCATGAAAGTCACTTCAGCTGAAAATACTGAAAAATTACAGGAAGATATAAGCAGTGTTTTCCAGTAGGCAGTGAAAAACAACATGATGTTCAATGGTGATAAGTTCCAACTGTTTAGGTATGCAAAGAATGAACAACTCAAAAGGAACACTGTATACAAAACTCAAGAGGACCATCAAACAGAACAAAGGAACACGTGAAAGATTTTGGAATAATTATGTCAGCTGACCTTTCTTTCAAAGAACACAAAAAGACAAAGGTCACGACAGCTAGGAAGATGATGAAGTGGGTAATGACAACCTTCAAAACAAGGAAAATAATGTCAGTGGTGATAATGTCATTATTTCACTAGTGGTCCCTCATTTGGAATATTGCTCGGTGTTGACAGCCCCATTCAGGGCTGGAGAAATATCAGAGCTGGAACAAACAGAGATCGTTTACGGCTTGCATAGACCCAGTAAAGCATTTAAATTATTGGGAATGCATTAAAGTCTTAAATATGTACTCAATGGAGTGGAGGAGAGAGAGATACTTGATAATATATATCTGAAAAGTACTTAAGGGCTTGGTCCCAAATCTGCACACTGCCATAACATACTGGAGTAAGATATATGGGACGAAGTGCAAAATAAACCCAGTGAAAAGCAGGGGTGTGGTAGGCACAATAAGGGAACATTGCATCAACATCTGACTCCAGATTATTCAATATCTTACCAGAAGATATCAGAAACACTGCTGGAACAAGTGTAGATGTCTTCAAGAGGAAACTGGACTAGGTTCCAGATCAACCAGGCTGTGATGGATAAGTGGGGCTGCAGGCCACCAGCAGCAACAGCCTGGTTGACCAGGCTAGCACCAAAAGGGAGCAGAAAGACTCAAAACTCATCAAAGGTATACCAAAGGCAAAACAGGCTCCATAAAGCTATAGATTGTGGTGAAAATTAAAAGACCTTTAACAGAAAGATCCTAGATAAATATATTTTCACCAGTTACACACGAAAATGTAATTGTGAGAAGCTTATACCATTCTGGCAAACTTCATATGCTATGAAAAATGAAAGGGTAGCTCCAATTTTGTGGATCAAGAGCTCTTTATCAGCATCAAGGCACACTCCTTTAAGAGTAATGCCCAGCAATGATATGCTAATATGATCCTTTAAAGCCTGATTACTAAAAGCAATGGAAATGAATGGTTCAGAGAACCAACAAGTTGATAAATTAGACACATGCGCAACACTTGGGTATCTTTAACGAGAAAACATTTCACCACACAGTGGCTTCATCAGTCCATACAAAGGAGAATGGTGAAGAACAGGAGGAGTTTGAGGTAATCAGTCCCTCAGCCTTGAGTCGATGTGATCAGTCCATCAATCTTGAAAAGAATACAGCAAGCATTCTGCAAATTCACTTAAGGAAGAAATCATAATGGGTGGAATACCAGCACATATTGAAAAGTAGTGGTAATATTGTTATTGATGGGCTAAGCAAAATGTATTCAGTAATTAAGAACAGAACAGATCCCAAATGATGAGACTGCACTTGCAAGTTGTACACTAACCTGAGGATGTGGAGGATGGCCATTGTGAAGGTTCTGATGATGAGGTGGAGGAGGAGTGGGTCCATGCTGTCCACTGCTGCCAGCTGAACCAGCAGAAGAGGGCCCAGAAGGTGTTCTTATGCCTCCCATACCCCATCCATCTCGCCGCACATCAGGATGGTGGGGGCCTCTTGGATCCCGGGGATCCCACCGGTCTTCTCCATTAATAGGATGACCATGGGGTGGTCCAGGATAGGGAGGCCCACCATATACAGGCCCATGTGAGCCAGGGTGATGCGGACCATGTCCTTGGTGTGGACGGAGGTGTGGAGGGTAACCAGGTGAACTTTTGGGAGGTTGTGTGGGACTGAGAGGGTGATGAGGAGGGTGACCAGGTGGGCCTTGTTGGTGTCCTGGATGACCCTGGTAGTGACCAGGATGATTTGGGTGAGGCATGTGTTGGCCAGGTCCAGGATGTTGTTGGTGCCCAGGGTACTGTGTATGGCCTTGATACTGAGGATAGGAAGGCCAGTTGTGTGGAGGGCCATCTAACACTTCACCCTCATGTAGAGTTGGTGGTAGGTTGTACCCGCCCCACTGTTCAGGACGACGGTGTCTTGGAGGACTGGAGGAACGAAGGGAATTGGACCGTGCCACACTAGAAGTCTTAGGTAGGTTAGCAGGTCCATTACTATTATTGTTGTTGTTGATAGTGTTTGTTGTTGTTGTTGTTGTTGCTATTGTTACCACCACCTCGTTCTCCACGTATGCTCGTCTGTAACAAGAAAAAAGAAGTGTAAGAGCAAAATATAATACAGAGTTTGAGTAGATTCAAAGGATTTTTTTTTCAACAAACCAGCCATATCCAACTCAGGCAGGGTGACCTAAAAAGGAAAACTTTTTTCTTTAAATTTAGTAATTTATACAAGAAAAGGGGTTACTAGCCCCTTGCTCCCAAAGGATTTTTTTTTATCTGCACAAATATGGGGTTTAGAAAGAGGGCCAATGAGGGGCTGTTGACATGTTTTGGGCATTGAGAGAGGTTGGAGCAGATCAGGATCAGCAAGAGCATGTAAAACTGGGGTGGAAGGAAAGTTGGGGAACATCCCAGAAAGGATTGGAGGGAAGAATTAAAAGGAGGTTCTAGAGTTTAGAGGTTTGAGCATCCTGTAGGTTTGTATGAGCAAATTTGATTGGAGTGAGTGGAGACAAGTAGTTTTATGGCTCAATGTACTGTTGGAGTGTGAGAAAGGTAGCATTTATTAAGGAATCCAGGGAAACTGGCTTAATTTTTTTTTTTTGGCGGGGAGAGGGGAGTGGTTACTTTACTTTGTATGTATGTACAATATATCAATTTCAAGATCTTGATTCTTTAACTGTTTTTTCTTTTTTTTTTTTAACAAGTCGGCTGTCTCCCACTGAGGCAGGGTGACCCAAAAAGAAAGAAAATCCCCAAAAAGAAAATACTTTCATCATTCAACACTTTCACCTCACTCACACATAATCACTGCTTTTGCAGAGGTGCTCAGAACACAACAGTTTAGAAGCATATACGTATAAAGATACACAACATATCCCTCCAAACTGCTAATATCCCAAAACCCCTCTTTTAGAGTGCAGGCATTGTACTTCCCATTTCCAGGACTCAAGTCTGGCTATATAAAAATAACCGGTTTCCCTGAATCCCTTCACTAAATATTACCCTGCTCACACTCCAATAGATCGTCAGGTCCCAAATACCATTCGTCTCCATTCACTCCTATCGAACACACTCGTGCATGCCTGCTGGAAGTCCAAGCCCCTCACCCACAAAACCTCCCTTACCCCTTCCTTCCAACCTTTTTGAGGACGACCCCTGCCCTGCCTTCCTTCCCCTACAGATTTATACACTCACCATGTCATTCTACTTTGATCCATTCTCTCTAAACTGACCAAACCACCTCAACAACCCCTCTTCAGCCCTCTGACTAATACTTTTATTAACTCCACACCTTCTCCTAATTGCTACACTCCAAATTTTCTGCATAATATTTACACCACACATTGCCCTTAGACAGGACATTTCCACTGCCTCCAACTGTCTCCTTGCTGCTGCATTCACAACCCAAGCTTCACACCCATATAAGTGTGTTGGTACTACTATACTTTCATACATTCCCTTCTTTGCCTCCACAGATAACGTTTTTTGTCTCCACATATACCTCAACGCACCACTCACCTTTTTTCCCCCTCATCAATTCTATGATTAACCTCAACCTTCATAAATCCATCCGCCGACACGTCAACTCCCAAGTATCTGAAAACATTCACTTCCTTACTCCTCCTCCCCAATTTGATATCCAATTTTTCTTTATCTAAATCATTACAACCCTATCTATAAATATATTAAACAACCATGGTGACATTACACATCCCTGTCTAAGACCTACTTTTACTGGGAAGTAGTCTCCCTCTCTCCTACACACCCTAACCTGAGCCTCACTATCCACATAAAAACTCTTTACACCATTTAGTAGCTTACCACCTATTCCATATACAGTGGACCCCTGGTTAACGATATTTTTTCATTCCATAAGTATGTTCAGGTGCCAGTACTGACCGAATTTATTCCCATAAGGAATATTGTGAAGTAGATTAGTCCATTTCAGACCCCCAAACATACAAGTACAAACGCACTTACATAAATACACTTACATAATTGGTCGCATTCGGAGGTAATCGTTATGCGGGGGTCCACTGTACTTGCAACATCTGCCACATTGCTCCCCTATCCACTCTGTTCTTGAACTATAGAACATAAAAAATCTACCGTGCTTAACAATCTTTATAGGATAACTCCTAGATGGTTTTTGTACTATTTTACTGACAAAGCACTAAAACTTTTTTGGTTATTCAGAACATTAAACATTTTCCATTTTTCATATCAAATTTACACTATCATTTTCAACTTACTCTTGACATGAGCAATTCAGTTTGGTATTACTTAAATTATAATAATTAAACTAGTACAATTGTGGTCCTCTACAAATACTACATCACCTACGATTTAAAACAAAGTCATATCCACTTGTTACAGTCTCATAATACAAAGAGTCCAAAAAATAGATGCAGTAGGTTCAAAGGTTATACAAAAAATAATTGCACCCATTTAATCCATAGTTTCATCTTCCTGCAACATCCACTATTTCATATTCTAGTCTAACACCCACTCACTTCTCTCCCCAACAAAACATTTCTTAATGCACATCCATCTTTGCCAATTTCATTATTTGATGATTTAATATCCTTCCATATTCTACAACTTCTAACTTTAATACCATACATAAGTAATAATCAACATTACCTGCGAGTTTCTGCTGGAGTCAGCCAAGTTGAGGGTGGCAAAGCCTCGACTGAGTCTACTCGAGGAGTCTTGTCCTCTAGACGTGTCTTGTGGCATCTGAAAAGCATGAAAAATTATCTAGCATATATTGAGTAAATATGAATGGATGGATCATCCTTCCTTGATGGGAAATATCAGGCATGTTCAAAATTAAAATACAATTAAAAATTAAAATATATTAACCACAGATGAGGATCAGTATGAGAAATATATGAAGGATTGTTTTTACCAGTTGTCTTCCACCAAGGTGAGGCGACCCTTAAAAACAAAAATTGAGCTAACTGGTTTCCCTGAATCCCTTTATATATGTTAGTTCATTCACACTACAACAGCATGTCAAGCCACACAAAACCACTTGTCTTCAATCCAGTTTAATATGCTCACACAAGCCTGTCAGATGCTTAAGCCCCTAGCACTCAAAATCTCTCTTATTCCTTCCCTCTAACTCTTCCCTTCCTACCCTTTTTTCTCCACTAGACTGATACACCCTCTTGGTTACCCCATTCTGATTCAGCCTTTCTAAATGTCCAATCCACCTCAGCAATCTTTCTTCAACTCTCTCAATTATACTTCTATTAACCCTTTGACTGTCGCGGCCGTATATATACGTCTAACGAGATACCGTGTTTAACGTATATAAAGTCATAAATTCTAGCGGCTTCAAATCAAGCAGGAGAAAGCTGGTAGGCCCACATGTGAGAGAATGGGTCTGTGTGGTCAGTGTGCACCATATAAAAAAAATCCTGGAGCACGCAGTGCATAACGAGAAAAAAAACTCCGAGGTTTTTTTTAATTAAAATGCCGACTTTGTGGTCTATTTTCGATATAGTATTTATGGTTATATTCTCGTTTTCTTGGTCTCATTTGATAGAATGGAAAACATAGAAATAGAGGTGATTTTGATTAATTTTACTAAAAAAGAACCTGGAAAAGGAGCTCAAAGTAGGGGAAATGTTTGATTTTTGCCACTGTTCAAAAGTAAATAAATGATGTCATTGTCCAATAAATGTCCAACTAGCCATTCTAATATGCAGTCATGAATGGGTTGATGTTATTTATACAATTATTACAGTATTGCAGTAGTCTGCATAATAGTAAGTCTTCTATTTTTTGTTTGAATATAAATTCAAAATAGAAAGCAAGAGTAATATCAGAGGGGCCTGGAGACGTGACTGATGAACAAAGAAAATGTTATTTTAGAGCCAGGAATGTCTGCATTGTTCATTCTGGACCTTATTTTGAAATTGTCGTATTTTTTAATTTTCGTGAAATTGGCCAAACTGCAAATTTCTGACCACATTATTGGGTAGTTGAAATCGGTAAATGGGCAGTTTCTTGTACTCAATCAATAGAAAAAATGGTGTTCTAAAGAAATAGCTGAGTTTGGTCAATTGGAACAATGGAATTAGCCGAAAATAGGGCTCAAAGTGGTCGATCTTGCCGATTTGTAAATATCGCCGAGGTCGCTAACTTCGCGAGAGCATAATTCCATCAGTTTTCCATCAAATTTCGTTTTTTTGGTGCCATTACAATCGGGAAAAGATTCTCTATCATTTCATAAGAAAAAATAATTTTTTTTTTTAAATTTTACGACACCAGGAGACACCTCAGGATTGGGGGTTGCGAGAGTCAAGGGGCTAACCCCACACCATCTTTTAATTTCTACATTCCAAATTCTCTGCATATTCACACCACACACACTGCTCTCAAGCAATGTGTAGTGTGAAAACAGGTGGCATTACTTTTCTCTCGTACAGTACCCTTTTTGCCTCCATAAATAACCCTTTCTTTCCATTGATACCTCAACACACTGCCTAACAATATGTGGAAAAAGGTTTAGCTTATCTGTAAAAGCAAGTCTATATACATACTTCAATTCTTTATGTAGCATTTCCTATAGAAGCTCCTTTTTCTTATGGAGGGTTAATAACTGAGAAACTCAAGCACCTACCTCTTGATTACAGCAAGAAACAAGTGAAGGAAAAATGACATGTGCTTCAAATGAGAGAATAAAAGCCCCAATGCTATGGCTGGAACAATTTACAATACGGCAGGGCCCCGCTTTAACGCCGTTTTGCTTTACAGTGTTCCGCTAGTATGGAGATTTCAAATTATAACCAAAATTTGCTATACGGCGAGTGGTCTTTCAAATATGGCACGCCCCACCCGGTTTGTTTACATTCTCCATGAGCACATACATGTATATCTATTATGTTTAGAAGCTTTCCAAAATTTCAAGTGTTTTAAAGTTATTGCAGATTTTATACATACTCTGATAATTATACTTATGTGTACCTGTACCTAAATATACTTACACACTGTGCTGGAGTGCAGGTACACATTAAAATCACTAAGTCTCTCTACTCGACGCCATATAATAATCTACTGGGCGCATTAAATGTTGTATATATTACACTAATATAGACATTTCCATTAATCCATCTATTGATATTTTTTTTAAATTATGTAATAAACATGCTACGTAATATGTAGACATGATACATACACCAACAGTATAAAAATTTACATAAATATGAGATTTCTTTTCTAAGTAGTTCGTGGGAGAGTCGGAAGAATTACATTTTCTCTAGTCAAACACCAGTAACTTAATTAGAAATTTATTCCTTTCGTATGACTTCACTCTATCTATAGCTATTCACGACCCTTGTGGGTTTAGCACTTCTTTTTTATGATTATAATAATAACTTGTAATAATGATAATTTGTAATAACTTATAATAACAGTAATAATTTGTAAGATGAGAGGGGGGGCAGGCAAACCAAGAAAGTGGAGCATACTCAAGGTGTGAGCGTACTTGTGCCTCGTACAGGATCTTGCAACCCCTACTGTCAAGCAGATGCGAGATACGGCGAAGTGCTGTAAGCTTCCTGGCTGCCTTGTTTGCAAGATTTACAACATGGTTCTTCATGGTTAGTTTGGAGTCAAATTTCACCCCAAGGATATCAACTTCTTCTCCAGGTGCCAACACCCTCCCATTCATCCTTACTACTGCACCAGCATTACCATCATGGTGCCTAGAGACGATCATCATTTGCGTTTTCTCAGGTGCAAATGTTACTTGCCATCTACTTCCCCAAGCTGATATAGCTCTCAGCTGGTGATTGATGTAGCTTAGAGCAGCTGGCATTTCTTCTCTTGGATAAGTGAATGTCAGTGTACAGTCGTCTGCATATGCAAGTGATTCTGGGATGAGATGAAGAAGGTCGTTAAGTAGACATTCCATAACAATGGACCCAGCACGCTTCCTTGTGGAACACTTGCCCCAATAGGATGTCTTGCTGATTCCGTTCCATTGAGAACTACACTTAGAGATCTACCATGAAGGTAATCACTGAGGAGACATAGCGTAGAGCCTGCAATTCCCAGTGCTTGAAGTTTTGCTAAGAGGCCCTGGTGCCACACCCAGTCGAAAGCGCCAGCAATGTCCAGTGCTACCACACAGCTGACTTTGGATTCATCAGTGACTGGTGCCACTTAGTGGAGAGGTTTAACAACAGATCAGCAGCAGAGTAACCTTTCCTGAAGCCATATTGACGATCACAAAGTAGTAAGTGGTAGACAAAAAACTCTGTCATTTGTCTTGAGATTACTGTCTCAAGGATTTTACCAGTGATTGACAGGAGTGACACTGGTCTGTAGTTGCTGATTTCTGCTCTGCTCTTCTTTTTGTGAACAGGGACTACATTTGCCTCTTTCCATAGAGAGGGCCATTTACACTGTACTAGGCAGTGCTGAAAGATGCGAGTTAGAGGTGCTGCTAGCTGGTCTGCACATCTTCTCAACAATCTTGGGCTCAACTTGTCTGGGCCCACAGCCTTTTCTTGGTTAAGCGATTTAAGAAGGAAATGCACCTCCTCCTGCCTTATTGTCACCACTGACAGTTTTGACACAGTTCCCTCTCTCTCTCCCTCTCACTCTCTCTCTCTCCCACTCTCTCCCACTCTCTCCCACTCTCTCCCACTCTCGCCATCTCTCCCACTCTCTCCCACTCTCTTCCCACCTCTCCTCCCACTCTCCTCCCACTCTCTCCCCTCTCTCCCTCTTCCTCCTCCTCTCTCCTCCTCCTCTCTCTCTCTCTCCCTCTCCCTCCCCTCTCCTCTCTTCCTCCTCTCTCCTCTTCCTCCTCTCTCCTCTCTTCCTCCTCTCTCTCCTTCCTCCTCTCTCTCTCTCTCTCCTCCTCTCTCTCTCTCCTCCTCTCTCTCTCTTCCTCCTTCTCTTCCTCTTCTCCTCTCTCTCTCTCTTCCTCCTCTCTCTCTCTCTTCCTCCTCTCTCTCTCCTTCCTCCTCTCTCTCTCTCTTCCTCCTCTCTCTCTCTCTTCCTCCTCTCTCTCTCTCTTCCTCTCTTCCTCTCTCTCTCTTCCTCCTCTCTCTCTTCCTCCTTCTCCTCTCTCCTCTCTCTCTCTCCTCTCTCTCTCTCTTCCTCTCTCTCTCTCTCTCTCTCCTCTCTCTCTCTCCTTCTCTCTCTCTCTCTTCCTCTCCTCTCTCTTCCTCTCTCCTCTCTCTTCCTCTCTCCCCCCCCTCCTCTCCCTCCCTCTCTCCCCCCCCTCTCTCCCCCCCTCTCTCTCCCTCCTCCCCCTCTCTCCCCCCCTCTCTCCTCTCTCTCTCCCCCCCTCTCTCTCTCTCTCTCTCCTCTCTCTCCCCCCCTCTATCTCTCTCTCTCTCCCTCTCTCCCCCCCCTTCTCTCTCTCTCCGCTCTCTCCCCCCCCTCTCTCCTCCTCCTCCTCCCCCCCCTCTCTCTCTCCTCTCTCTCCCCCCCTCTCTCTCTCTCTCTCTCCTCTCTCTCCCCCCCCTCTCTCTCTCTCTCTCCTCTCTCTCTCTCCTCTCTCCCTCCCCCTCTCTCCTCTCTCCTCCCCCCTCTCTCCCCCCCCTTTCTCTCTCACTCATTTTTATATCGTTAACTCACCTCTCACCCTACATTAAGACTACAAATATTTTAAGGTAAGTAATGAGTGCACTGTATATGCATTTTATCACTCTAGGGAGCTTTAATTATCGTAGTGGGTGGGGTGGCCAGGCGGGATGCCATATCTCCCACACGACTTTCCAGAAATAAATAATTTTCACCTCTCACCCTACATTAAGACTACAAATATTTTGAGGTAAGTAACGAGTGTACTGTATATGCATTTTATCACTCTAGGGAGTTTTAAGTGTCGTCGTAGTATATTATGTGTGGGTGGGGTCACCAGGAGGGCCACCACACCTGACTTCTTACAGTAAATACTACTCACCTTTTGCCCTACATTAAGACTACAAATATTTTGACATAAATAATGATTGTACTGTGTGTGTATTTTACTTTTTATTATTTTTTAATGCCTAGTCCTATTGCTAACTTGACATATGTTAGTGTAAACTTATTATCTGGCATTTATATGCATTTGTAAGTGGAAACAAATGGCATTCTGCTTTCTGGCAGTAGCCTGAAGCCTAATCTGCCATTTAAGTGGGGCCCTACTGTATATAGATTAGAAATGGAAACTAAGCAACATATGGTCCATCCACCCTAGGCCATTACTGCAAAATTAGTTGTACATCTAAGAGAGAAGGAGAGAGAAAAGTAAGTGTGTAAAATAGTAATAATGAATAGAAAACAGCCTTTATTATAAGGAGTTTATCTGGAGAGTTTATCTGGAGTTTATCTGGAGAGAGTTCCGGGGGTCAACGCCCCCGCGGCCCGGTCTGTGACCAGGCCTCCTTAGGTCAGTGTCCCAGGATGCGACCCACACCAGTCGACTAACACCCAGGTACCCATTTTACTGATGGGGAACATAGACAACAGGTGGAAAGAAACACGTCCAATGTTTCTACTCTGGCTGGGAATCGAACCCAGGCCCTCACCGTGTGAAGCGAGAGCGTTAACCACAAGTTAACCATAAGTTTTTACCACTAGTGCCCCAAACGTATTTATATGTTTTATGTGTCCTACATTTAACATTGCCACAATAAGGGCAACATTTGGGAAAAGCTGGAAAAAATTTTGGAGCCAATTAAATAAAATCTGATCAGGAATATATTGGACTAGAAAAAGTGATTAACTGAATAACTAGAAGTTATATTAACTTATAAAAAATTAATGCACTACAGATATATGGATATTGGCTGACACTACTTTCACAAAAGCAGTGTTAGGTAAATGTAACAAGGAAATATTGTGAATACTGTTACAAGGACTTACATTATTAGGGGTTTAATTATAAAACATCGAGGTCAAAAACAATTTTTAATATAAAACAGATTATCTATTTAATATATAATATATATTCAAGAACTAAAGTAATGTACAATATATACTAAACACTTTTTCTCTCATGGAAAACTGGCTACATCCCACTGAGGAAGGGTGAATTCAAAAAGAAAAATGAAAGTTTCTCTTTTTAACCCGTAAACGGTCCAAACGTATATACAGTGGAGCCTCAAATATCGAACTTTCTTCAGTCCAGAAGGCTGTTCGAGTGCCTTTACCGAATGAATTTATTCCCATCAGGAATAATGTAAATTAGATAAGTCCATTTCAGACCCTCAAAAATACACTTATAAAAGCACTTACAAAAATACACTTACATAATTGGTTGTGTTGGGAGTAGTTCGATTTTTGAGGTTCTGCTGTATAAGTTTTTACCGCTAGTGCCCCAAACGTATTTATATGTTTTATGTGTCCTACATTTAACATTGCCACAATAAGCCTGAGTCGCCTAGACATGTGAGAATGGGTGTGAACACTCGCTGTGCACCATATTAAAATAATTGGGGATGCCTGGGTACCATATGCTCTTTTTTCCTATTAAAAAACAACAATGTTTTTTTTTCTCAAAAAAAGTTGGGGCAGTACGGTAGTGAAAGTATATATACGTTTGGACCATTTACGGGTTAAATTTAATAATGTATACAGGAGAAAGGGTTACTAGCCCCTTGCTCCCAGCATTTTAGTGGCCTTTTATGACATGCGTGGCTTATGGAGGAAGAATTCTGTTCCACTTTCCCATGGAGATGAGAGGAAATAAACAAGAACTAGTAAGAAAATAAGAGGAAAACTCAGAGGTGTGTGTGTGTATATTCAGTGGACCCTCAGTTATTGGCCATTCCGGATATCGGCCAATTCAATTTTCGTCTGCATTTCTGGCCAGGTTATCAGCCATTATTTCGGTTATTGGCCGTATTGGATGCGTCCACCCGCTGCTCCGCCACATTCATGAGTCACTCTGGCTGTGTCTCTGGGTCAGTGAGGAAGCCTCCATGCATTCATCCAAACATTTCACTATAATCCATTGTTTTTTGTGGTTACTGATTGAGTGCAACTGTGAAATCAGCCACCAAGGGCCCAAAGAAAGTTCCTAGTAAGTTCCTTTGGTAAAGAAAGCAAGAAACACGATAGAATTCAAGGCAAGAAGACAGAGGCAAGGAGTGTAGCAGGCATGCAGGGAGTGTAGCATGCAGGGAGGCAGAGAGTGTAGTAGGCATGCAAGTAGTGTAGCAGGCAGGCATAGAGGCAAGGAGTATAGCAGACATGCAGGGAGTGTAGCAGGAAGGCAGGGGGTGGACAGTTTTTTTGTGCGACAGGGGTGCAGTGACTCAAGAAGGGAAGTAACCCCTCTTCACCTTCATCCATATGTCAACAAGTCTTTTCAATAAAGGTATGTAATGTTCATTTATTAGTAAAATTAGTGCTTTATATTTCTTTCTCGTTTTGTGTATGTAAAACTAATCTTTAAAAAATGCATTTTTTGTTAATATTTTTGGGTGTCTGGAACAGATTAATTGTACTTACATTAATTCTTATGGGAAATATTATTTCGGTTTTCAGCCATTTCGGTTTTAGGCTGACCTTCTGGAACGGATTATGGCCGATAACCAAGGGTCCACTATATGTGCTTGTACATGCATATGTAATGTGACCTAGGTGTAAGTAGAAGTAGCAAGATGTACCTGAAACCTTCCATATTTTATTTTTTTTAACACGTCGACCATTTCCCACCGAGGCAGGGTGACCCAAAAAGAAAGAAAAACCCAAAAAGAAAGAAAAACCTTTCATTGTCATTCAACACTTTCACCATCACTTATAAATAATAGTTTTTGCAGAGGCACTCAGATATGACAGTTTAAACATCCCTCCAAACTGTTTATGAGACAAAATCCTACCATCATGTAAAACAATTACAGGTTTCTGTTTCACGCTCACTTGGCAGGACGACAGTACCTCCCTGGGTGATTGGTGTCTACCAACCTACTCCAATATTAATCAGCACAGGCATCAAGTTTGGTCTTACCTTCATGTCAAGCATATCCACAGGTGTGATTTCAGATGGGTCAACAAGTGGCATGGGTCTGCCTTTGTCCAATGCATTTGAAACGATTCCTTGCCATTGAGGTGGTAGTCCAACATATCTAGATAAAGTATAATAAAATACTTAGGGAATGTAAGCAATTTTATGAACAAAGAAGCAATAAGGCCCACATGTTGACAACTTGCTCTCAATGTTGAAAATTTCCTCACACAATTTACAACCACAACCTCACTGACTGGTCAGAACACATGAATTCAGCGTTTCCTTGTTGGAACACTTACGAGTTAATGCTTTACAGAAGTGTTTACCAAAAGTAGAAAAAACAGCTACAGCATACTAAAGAAATTAAATTTTCACTAAGGCCCTAAAAGTATGTGATGAAATGAGAATATACCAAATCACTAATTTGTTTTAAAGGGCTTAAAATAAAGAGAAAAAACTATGGCACCTATCAGATCCAATGGTCTTAATCTCTAACATCATGTTTTACTGGGGATGGGGACCTCTCATGTAATGGAATGGCCACAATAGTCATAAACCTGCTTCACAAGCCTGATGTATTTCCCTTATGCCTTTCAAGAGTCTCCTCTACTTACGAACAGGTTCGGTTCTGAGTGGTCGCTTGTAAGTCCATTTGTTCATAAGTCCAACATATGTATGTATACAGTATTGTACAGTGGTGTAGTATATGTACAATGAACATGGAGTAACCTAGAAGTGTGTATACGTGAACACAAGAAAAATACATTATGTCCACTTTTGTTTCCATTGTGATGGCCTTGTGCTTCTTAGCACTACCACCTGTATCAACAATGCTTTTGAATTTAACACCAGACATGTTGGGGGGTATAACAATCACAAATAACACTGAATTTGTGGACAGAGCACAAGCACACATACGTTGCCGCTGGAGTAACATACTACTCAGCACCTCCCACAAATTGTTCATATTACTGAAAATTCACAACATGAATGTCCATATGTAGAAGTCTCTCTGTATATGTGTTTTCCTATAATATTTCCCTTATCCTCCTCTCGGATTTTGGTTGCCTAACCATGACTAACCCTATTCTTCAACCTGTATCTCATATCAATGATTGTTTTCCCATTCCCTATTTTTGAGGTGGCCTTTCTCTCTGAAGTTTCCAAATTACCTATTTCCATTTCATTTACTGATACCCTCCACATATTTTTAAACACTTTAACCCCCTGAATTTTAAATGTCCTGTACTTGGTTTATTTTATCTACAGGTTGCTTTGACCTTTCTTTTCCATACACACACACATCCATTTTGTTTCACCACTAATGGGTGGTAAGATCGCTTACTATTTGTTCACTAAGACAATGTACAGCTTTTCAAAATGTATTTTCCATCTTTTGCAAGTTATCATTAGATGACATTTCATTTTTATTCACAGGGAGGCATTAAACCCGTGGGGCTCATATAGTGCCTGGAAAAATGGGAGGCATTCAGGTTCGATCCAAGGAATGGGAGCTTAAGTCCAGCCCCTCGGATCTCCAGACAACAGTAAATTTACCATCTATATCTTGGATATTCTCCTTGCTTTTACTAGCTTTTCTTAACCTCAATACCACCATAAATACTTAAATATGCTGTTTTTGTTTAGCTCAATGAACAGCATAAAATCTTTTAAATTTTGACCATTTATTTTTAACCTCTACCTCTTTTCTACAAGCCCAATTACTGAAGATTCATCCAATGAGAATATATTATAGAAGCTTACTAAGTATGGGGAGAAGTATATTTAATAAGACATGGCACATGATGAACAGACAAGAAAATGACAGATTAATAAGAGACCCACAATTTAAAATTAACTCTTTCAGGGTCGGCAGGTCCTCTCCTAAACTCGTTCTCAGGGTCGGAAACTTTTTTTTTTTTTTTTTTGGGGGGGGGAGCCTTTTTCTTATAAAATGATAAGAGAATCTTTTCCTGATCATAATGACACCAAAAGTATGAAATTTGATGGAAAACTTACGGAATTATGCTCTCGTGAAGTTAGCAGTCTCGATGATGTTTACGCATCAGCGATTTCGCCCACTTTGAGCCCTATTTTCGGCCAATTCCAGTGTACCAGTTGACAAAAATCATAACTTTCACTAGAACTCCATTTTTTCTATCGAATGAGTACAAGAAACCACCCATTTACCGATTTCAACTATCCAATAAAGTGGTCAGAAATTGGCAATTTTGTCAATTTCACACAAATCTCAAAAGACGCCAATTTCCAAATAGGGTCCAGAATACACAAGACAAGACATTTCTGGCACTAAAATACCATTTTTTCTGTTCATTAGTCACGTCCCCAGGCCTCTCTTACATTTCTTTTGCTTTCCACTTTGAATTTTTATTCTCACAAAAAAATAAGATTTACTGTTATGCAGACTACTGGATTAGTGTAGAAATGGTATAAATAATATCAGTGCACTTGTGAAAGAATATAAGACTCACCAGTTGATGTGTATTAGACGCGTGACATGATTTGTTTACTTTTGAACTTTGGCAAAAATTGAGCATTTCTGTTACTTTGAGCTCAATTTCAAGGTACTTTTCATCGTGAAACCAATCAAAATCATCTCAATTTCTGTAATATGTCTTCCATTCTATAAAATGAGACCAGGAAAACTAGAACACAACCATAAATAGCATACGAAAATACATTGCAAAGTTGCTGTTTTAAAGCAAAAAACACGGTTCGAGCTTTTTTTTTCTCATTATGCACTGTGTACTGCAGGATTTTTTTAATACTGTACACACTGACCATATAGACCCATTCTTTCATATGTAGGCCTACCAGGTTTCTCTCACTAGATCTGAAGGCGCTAGAATTTATGCGTACTAGTACGGCACCAACCCTGGTGTGCAAGCCGTATTAGTATGGCACCAACACTGAGAGGGTTAAGGAACCCTAATTTGTACGTAAATGAAGTGTATGCTGAACATACCATAGAAAGAGGTGCTAGAATGACAATTGGTATCATAATCCTTCAGCACTGAAAATAAAAGCTAACATCCTTTACAGGTATTTTCTAACTTTTTTTCATAAATGAAGCTACTGATAAGAAAAAACTAAGACTGGACTTAGGATAAAAAATAAAACTCCATAACAGCCAATCTACTACGAAATGTAATTTCAGTGAGCTATTAAAATATTAAAATGTAAGTTGCGGCATATAATAAAACTGCAAGCAACAGAATTCTGAACACTAATCCAACAAAACAATGCAATTTTCAGGATTAATTTTAAAATGCACAACCTCTAATAGGTTATGAAACAAAATTAAGAATACTTTAATTTACTTACTTTTGTTCATGGTGATCAAAGCCAGTGTGGACGCGGTGCTCAAAGTTACTAGGTGCCGATATCTGCACTTTCTTATTCTTCTTCTTAAACATTGTGCCCCGCGTCTCTTCACCTGTAAAAAAAAAAAAAACAATACAGTGATACTCAAAAAGTTTCAAGACTTGACTTAAATAAAAAAAAAAATATTTACTTGTCCAATCTTTCTAGACCTTTTTTGCCCTCAAGAGACTACCAGTACATTATTATTTTTTTTTTTTAACAAGTCGGCCGTCTCCCACTGAGGCAGGGTGACCCAAAAAGAAAGAAAATCCCCAAAAAGAAAATATTTTCATCATTCAACACTTTCTCCTCACTCACGCATAATCACTGTTTTTGCAGAGGTGCTCAGAACACAACAGTTTAGAAACATATACGTATAAAGATACACAACACATCCCTCCGAACTGCTAATATCCCGAAACACCCTCCTTTAGAGTGCAGGCATTGTACTTCCCATTTCCAGGACTCAAGTTCGGCTATATAAAAGTAACCGGTTTCCCTGAATCCCTTCACTAAATATTACCCTGCTCACACTCCAACAGATCATCAGGTCCCAAATACCATTCGTCTCCATTCACTCCTATCGAACACGCTCATGCACGCCTGCTGGAAGTCCAAATCCCTCGCCCACAAAACCTCCCTTACCCCTTCCTTCTAACCTTTTCGAGGACGACCCCTACCCAGCCTTCCTTCCCCTATAGATTTAAATGCTCTCCATGTCATTCTACTCCGATCCATTCTCTCTAAATGACTAAACCACCTCAACAACCCCTCTTCAGCCCTCTGACTAATACTTTTATTAACTCCACACCTTCTCCTAATTTCCACACTCCAAATTTTCTGCATAATATTTACACCACACATTGCCCTTAGACAGGACATCTCCACTGCCTCCAACTGCCTCCTCACTGCTGCATTCACAACCCAAGCTTCACACCCATATAAGAGTGTTGGTACTACTATACTTTCATACATTACCTACTTTGCCTCCATAGATAAGGTTTTTTGTCTCCACATATAACTCAACGCACCATTATTATTATTAATTATCATTATTAATGACCAGAAACAAAATCAGAACACACAGAAATAAATCGCCAATATTTGGGAAGCATAACATGGGTTCCACCATCACCACCACCACCACCACAGAATTTTAGATAACTCTTCTCCATCCCCGTCCCCCCTAAGAAAAAACAAAAAAAAGGTACTTTGAATAATCGCTTCTGAAACTTTGTTGAAAAATCCAACACACTGGATTGGCCATCACAAACAAAAGACAATATGCATCTATACAGAAGAATAGGTCAAAAGAAAAATTCTCTCTGTAAATAAAGACAAGTAGAATTAAAAAACGGAATTGGAAAAAGGCAGAGATCCTAAAAACAATAAACATCAACAGGGAAAAACGGAAGATTGACACAATAGCATAGCAGACTGCCAAGTGCAAAAGTGACACCAAGAAAAGAAACCATGAACCAGGAAAAGTGGATCAGAGGCATTGCTAGGGTTGGCTTCACCTGGGATGGAATCTTTGGTGTCACCCCCATGAAACCCACGGTGGGGGAATAGGGGGAGTAAACTCCATTTACATCACTGCTGCATGACCAGTGACTAATGTTTAGCAATGTGAGTGTTTACAGGCCATAAACCGAACTTTATTAATGATAAAATAAATAATCATAGTAATATTAACCCTTTGAGGGTTTCGGCCGTACTAATACGGCTTACGACCCAGGGTTTTTGACGTACTAGTACGCCTAAATTCTAGCGCCCTCAAATCTAGTGGGAGAAAGCTGGTAGGCCTACATATGAAAGAATGGGTCTATGTGGTCAGTGTGCACAGTATAAAAAAATCCTGCAGCACACAGTGCATAATGAGAAAAAAAAAACTGACCGTTTTTTTGGAATAAAACAGCGACTTTGCACTGTATTTTCGTATGGTATTTATTGTTGTATTCTAGTTTTCTTGGTCTCATTTTATAGAATGGAAGACATATTACAGAAATTGAGATGATTTTGACTGGTTTTACAATGAAAAGTACCTTGAAATTGAGCTCAAATTAGCAGAAATGTTCGATTTTTACCAAAGTTCAAAAGTAAACAAATCATGCCAAGCGTCCAATACACGTCAACTGGCGAGTCTAATATTCTTTCACAAGTGCGCCAATATTATTTATACCATTTTTTACACTAATGCAGTAGTCTGCATAACAGTAAATCTTCTATTTTTTGTGAGAATAAAAATTCAAAGTGGAAGCAAAAGAATGTAAGAGCGCTTGAGATGTGACTAATGAACAGAGGAAATGTCATTTTAGTGCCAGGAATGTCTTTCTTGTTTATTCTGGACCCTATTCGGAATTGGCATCTTGTTGAAATTTGTGTGAAATTGGCAAAATTGCTAAATTCTGACCACTGTACTGGATAGTTGAAATTGATAAATGGGTGGTTTCTTGCACTCATTCGATAGAAAAAATGGAGTTCTAGCGAAATATTCATGTTTTTTGTGGACTAGTACAGTGGAATTGGCCGAAAATGGGGCTCAAAGTGGGCAAAATCGCTGATGCGTAAACATCCCGAGACCGCTAACTTCGCGAGAGCATAATTCCGTAAGTTTTTCATCAAATTTCAAACTTTTGGTGTCATTATGATCGGGAAAAGATTCTCTATCTTTTCATAAGAGAAAATTATTTTTTTTTAAATTTGGCCAACCATGAGAACGAGTCTCGGAGAGGGCCTGTCGACCCTCAAAGGCTTAAGGAAACAAACTTAAATACCACTTTGAGTATAGACAACAGATCCTACATTTGTTCATCTTCAACAATGAAAAAAAAAAAAAAATTGAAAAATAATGAAAAACACTAGTTCTGATTTGACCTTGAGTACAGGTAATGTCTCAATGAATCTGATCTTACATTTAACATTGAGTACAGGTAACATTGCAATGAATCTGATTTCATTTCCTTGCCTTCAATCCTGCAAAATCATCTATCACATCAAAATCAATGATTTTCCCTATATAGGCACATTTGTACTCTGTAATCCTATAACAGGCTATATAAAAGCAAAGGATTTTTCTCTTATGTTGCTGCAGTATTGTTTTGGGCATTAGTGTCACCTTCCTTAGAGGCTCTATGGTGTAGCCCCCTAAATGGTGTCACCCTGGGCGGCCTGCGCCCTCCTTACAACGCCACTGGAGTGGATTACCCTCTTAAAAACTCACTCACTCTCACACCACTCACACAACACTCTCACACACACACTCTCACACACACTCACACACACACTCTCCACACAACACTCTCACACACACACTCTCACACACACACACTCCACACACACACTCTCACACACACACTCTCACACACACTCTCACACACACACTCTCACACAAACACTCTCACACACACACTCTCACACCACACACACACCTCTCACACACACTCTCACACACACACACTCACACACCACTCTCACACACCACTCTCACACACACCACTCTCACAACACACACTCTCACACACACACTCTCACACACACACTCCACACACACCTCTCACACACACACTCTCACACACACACTCTCACACACACACTCTCTCACACACACACACACACACTCACACACACACTCTCACAACACACTCAAACACCACACTCTCACACACACACTCTCACACACACACTCTCACACACACACTCTCACACACACACTCTCACACACACACTCTCACACACACACTCTCACACACACACTCTCACACACACACTCTCACACACACACTCTACACACACACTCTCACACACACACTCTCACACACACACTCTCACACACACACCTCACACACACACTCTCACCACACACTCACCAACCATCTCTCACACAACACTCTCACACACACTCTCACACACACACTCTCACACACACACTCTCACACACACACTCTCAACACACACACTCTCACACACACACTCTCACACACACACTCTCACACACACACTCTCACACACACACTCTCACACACACACTCTCACACACACACTCTCACACACACACTCTCACACACACACTCTCACACACACACTCTCACACACACACTCTCACACACACACTCTCACACAACACACTCTCACACACACACTCTCACACACACACTCTCACACACACACTCTCACACACCACTCTCACACACACCACTCTCACACACACACTCTCACAACACACACTCTTCACACACACACTCTCACACACACACTCTCACACACACACTCTCACACACACACTCTCACACACACACTCTCACACACACACTCTCACACCACACACTCACACACACACTCTCACACACACACTCTCACACACACACTCACACACACTCTCACACACACCTCTCACACACACACTCTCACACACACACTCTCACACACACACTCTCACACACACACTCTCACACACACCTCTCACACACACACTCTCACACACACACTCTCACACACAACACTCTCACACACACACTCTCACACACACACACTCACACACACACACTCACACACACACTCTCACACACACACTCTCACACACACACTCTCACACACACACTCACACACACACACACTCACACACACACTCTCACACACACACTCTCACACACACACTCTCACCACACACTCTCACACACACACTCTCCACACACACTCTCACACACACAAGAAGGCCTTTGACACAGTTCCTCACAAGAGATTAGTGCAGAAGCTAGAGCATCAGGCGCATATAACAGGAAGGGCACTGCAATGGATCAGAGAATACCTGACAGGGAGGCAAACAACGAGTCATGGTACGTAATGATGTATCACAGTGGGCACCTGTGATGAGCGGGTCCCACAGGGGTCGGTCTAGGACCAGTGCTATTTTGGTATATGTAAACGACATGACGGAAAGGGTTAGACTCAAAAGTGTCCCTGTTTGAAAGGTTTGATGTGAAGTTTTTGAGGAAAATTTAAAAATCTGTGGGAAACCGGCAGGACTTCAAAGGGGAACCGGGAAACAGCCCGGGAAAACCCCTGGTCCACCCA